CCCCAAAACCCCAAAACCCCAAAACCCCATGTTTTTTCTTATAAACTGAAAATAAACACTTTGGGTAAATATCCTGATATCTGTATCTTACTTGTTCTCAGTGAATGTTTTAATGATCTCTTCCATGATCTCTACTGGGCCTATATAAACTCCTGATATAGAGATAAGAGACTGCTTACCATTCTGAGTGGAATGTTTCTGAAATCCACATTGAAAATCTAGGATCTTAAGCTTCAGCTCAGTAAATATTTGTTCTTCCTCAGCTAAATTTTATGCATAATGCTACCCATCTGCTGGATTCTGGATTCATTGGCGTCAATTAGAGCTAAGGGTTAGGGAAATAATACCTCTACGCTTTTCAGCGCCTGAGAATTCAAGTTTTCTAAGAGAGAAGAGATTAAAAATTCTGGTATCTTTTCCAATCTCTAGATGATCAAGAGACAATGAGTACCTTTTGTAGTCTTAAATTTGTCAATCAGTTCTAGTATTTTCTGTATTATTATATTCTAAAGATACCTGAAGTTTAGTCAAAGTTTTAGCAAGATATTCTTTCTTATTTTGCTGTGAAATTATTTTATTTCTTTAATCTTTCATTGTCTTTTTTTGCAAGATTTAAGGAAATATAAATTTTATCTGCTTCTTTTTTTATTTTGTTTCTGTATGAAATATTCTTATTAGTTTCTTTCTCCTCCAATTCTACAAATTATCACTTAATTTACCTTGAATCTGATAGTCCCAGTTCTTTTTCATCCTTTTCAAAGAACATTTTTGCACTTTGTCAGAGATCTTAAAAGGCTTGTCTAAAAGTAGAATAAAAAAGTAACTAATATGTATTTTTAAATTCAGAGTCTTCTGAAACCCTCCAATAAAAATTATAAATTTAATATTGATCAATTACTTCCAAAAATCACCTTATTTACAACACATCTACACAAACTCAAAGTTCCAATACATCCACCTAAACCCCTATATATCATCCCTAAATCCCCCTAATCTCCCACTAATCCCCCTCAACCCCTAACTCTACACCCAAACCCTGCACCCAACCCCTCCTTCAAACTCCCCCTTAAACCCCCACTGTCCAATTCAGCCACTACCAAATGTCCCAAAACTAAGCTCTTGGCCTAGCTACACCAGAAGAGATTTGGCCTATTGTGAAAGGACAGGTTAGGCCAGGTTTTGACCGTGAGGCCTAAGCGGGGTTGAGTAGAATTGGTAGAGACTGTACCTATATTGTTGAGTTTCTGGAAGTTAAGGTCGTTGGGTTCTTTGAGGGGTTAGAAGAAGTACGGAGATGGGGTGTGGGATTCCTGGTCTTGCTTGGAAATATGTATAGGCTGTTTAGAAATTAGATTTGGGTTGTATTGTAGGTAGTACATGTGTAACTGTTGATTAATTTTTAAATGAATTCATAATAATGTCTGGATAGAAAGTTACAAAATGATTTTACGTGATGAATTAACAATTTTACATATGTTATCTGCTATTTAAACAAAATTGAAAATTTTACTCGTCTATATGGAGATGCTGGTTTTGGACGAAAGTTTGAACCTGTCTGCACCATTGACTTTGAAATTTTTCTGTTCCGATGTGACCGAGGAATGGGCTTTGAATGATTGATAGATTTGGAGTTTCTAAAGAACTTTTGGCTCTTTTGGGAAGATTTGAAGAAAGATCTGGCAAACATGCTTGCTCGTTGGCGTGAGATTTTAGGCTTTAGGATTTTTAGGAGAAGCCTGGTATGCTCTTCATTCATTGCTTGGCTTATAATTCAATTATTTATCAATCAGATGGGGTTTTGGGGTTTTGGGGTTTTGGGG